TATATATTTTAGATACAAGTGCCTTATCAGATATATGATTTGTAAAAGTTTTCTCCCATTCTATGGGTTGCCTTTTTTACTTTTTGATGGTGTCCTCTAAAGCACAACAGTTTAACATTTCGATGGCTCAGTTTATCTGTTTTTTATTTTGTTGCTTGTGATTTTGATGTTGTCTCTAAGGAACAATTTCCTTTCCCAAAGTCATGAAGTTTTATAGTTTTAGCTGTTACATATAAGGCTATGATTCATTTTGAAATTATTTTGTATATGGCATGATTTAAGAATGTAACTTTATTCTTTTGCATGTGGATGTCTGCTTTGCCCAGAACCATTTGTTGAAAATACTCTTCTATTCTTATTGAACTGTCTGGGTATCTTTGTTGAAAATGATTTGGCCATTCCTATAAGGGTTTATTTCTGGACTCTCAATTCTACTCTATTGGTTTATATATCTATCCTTATACCAGTACCATGCTATCTTGGTTACTATAGTTTTATGGTAAGTTTTTAAATATGGAAGCATGAGTTCTCCAACTTTGTTTTTTTTTTTTTTTTATTCTAACTTGTTTTGGTTATTTGAATGATTTTCCATATGAATTTTATAATCAGCTTGTCAATTTCTTTTTTTTAAAAAAGCAGCTGGAAGTTTGATAGGGATTGCATTAAATCTGTAAATCAACTTGGGGGGCATTACCATGTTTTTTAGATCTTTAATTTATTTTAACAATATTTTATAGTTTTAAGTGTACAGGTCTCATTTGTTGGATAAATTTATTTGTACTATTTTATTGTTTTTATTATGATTACATGGATTGCTTAGTTAATTTAATTTTCAGATTACTCTTTGCTATTGTTTTGCTTTTGCATTATTCATTGCTGCTGTACAGCTGATTTTTGTATACTGGTCTTTTATCTGATAACCTTGATGAACTTCTTAATTAGTTCTAATAGTTGTGTGTGTGTGTGTGTGTTCCTTAGGATTTTCTGTATATAAGATCATGTCACTCTAGAAATTTGGCCTCGATATTAAAAATACATTAATACAAAACTAAATAGTTAGAATAAGATTTTATTAAAAATATTAACTTACTCAAAAAAAGATCATGTCATCTGTGAAAAGATAGATTTTTACTTCTTTTCCAATATGGAATTTTTTAAATTTCTTTTTTCTTACTTGATTCCCCTGATTAGAATCTCCAGTAAAATGTTTAATAGGAGTGGGGAGACAAACATCCTTGTCTTATTTCTGATCTCAGGGGAAAAGCATTCAGTCTTTATCCATTACATATGATGTTAGCTGTGGGATATTTGTAGATGCTTTTTATCAGATTGAGGAAGTACTCTTTCATTAGTTTGATTAGTGATTTTTATCATAAAAAAAGTGCTAGATTTTTGTGAAATACTTTTTCAGCATTTACTGAGATAATCGTGTGGCCTTGTCCTTTATTATATTAATATAGTATATTACATCAATTGATTTTTGGATGTTAAATCAACTTTGTATTCCTGGGATAAATTCCATTTGTTTATGGTATATAATCCTTTTTATATGTTGCTGGTTCTGTTTGCTGGTATTTTGTTAAGGATATTTTGCATTTATATTTATAAGGGATTTTTGGTCTGTAGTTTTCTTGTGATATCTTTGTCTGGTTTTGATGACAGTAATGGTGGCCTTGTAGGATGAGTTGAGAAGGGTTCCCTCTTCTTCTGTTTTTTGGAAGAGTTTATAGAGGATTGTTATTCATCTTTAAATCTTATTTAGATTTGTTATGGCATCCTTGGTAGCTTGCCCTTTGCTTTTATAAACTGCAGAAGGGGCTTGTAAATGAAGACAGGAAGATAGTGTTTATGCTGATTGATCCCTTTAGAATAATTTTACTACAGTGAAAGTAGAGGATTTTAAATAAAACTGAGTCTTCATTTTGCCTCCTTCTATGAAACAATGATAGATGCTCCACCACTGGAAGACATGCTTTGTTTCAGAAACAAATTCAAAGGTTTTTAGATCTTAAATTAAAATTAGAAGATGCCTTTCAGTGCCATCTCCTCAGCTGAGCCATGGGTGCATGCCCGGCTTACTGTCCGCACTTGAAGAAATCTTACCAGTAACCTGTAAGTACAAATCTGTCTAGAAACATTACTTAAAAGAGCCTGTTAAGAAGTGTTACACTGACCTTTTCTTGAGTAAGAGTCTGAGAACAAGGAGAGTTTGTTGAATCCCAGACATCACGTAAGGTAATATGAATAATAAATATTTAGATTGTCTTCCTACATGTTGCAAGGTAATTTTTGGTCATTAATCACTCCACTAGCTCAGTGGGAAAAATTAGCACTGAAGAAGTAATAACAACTAATGTTTACTAAGTAATTACTATGTGCCAAACACTGTCTTAAATACTTTATGTATACTATCTCTTTTATTTTTCATAGCAATATTATGAGGTCAATGCTAACATTATTCTCCACTTTACAAATGAGGACATTTAGAAACAAAGAGGTAATCTTAGTTGCAAATAATGCTGGAGCTGGGGTCTGACCTAGGTTAGGTAACCCCAGAACCTGAACCAGAATTTGGAGTAAATTATATGCATCCCAGAGATTTAGACTCAGGGTCTCTGTATTCCAAGTTCTGGGTTTAGAAGATAAGTCTTTGTACTCCTTTTGATGAATAATAAAATTTGCAGTATACTCTTTTCTTTCTGTCTTTCTTTCTTTCCTTCCTTCCTTCCTTCCTTTTCTTTCTTTTTTCTTTCTTTCTTTCTTTTCTTTCTTCTTCCTTCCTTTCTTTCTCTTCTTTCCTCTTCCTTCTCCTTCCTTCCTTCTTTCTTTCTTTCCTTCTTTCCTTCCTTCCTTCCTTCTTTCCTTCCTTCGTTCCTTCTTTCCTTCCTTCCTCCTTCTTTCCTCTTTTCCTTCTCTGCCTTCTTCCTTCCTTCTTCGTTTCTTTCTTCTTTCTTTTCCTTCCTCCTTTCCTTTTGCTTCTTTCTCTTTCTCCTTTCTCTCCCCCTCTCTCTCCCCCCTCTTCTTTCTTCTTTGTTTCTTTGCTTTCGTTCTGGTTCTTCTTTGTTTCTTTCTTTTGTTTCTCTCTCTCTCTCTCTTCTCTCTCTTTTCTTTCTTCTTTCTTCTTTCTTTTCTTTTCTTTTCTTTTCTTCTTTTCTTTTCTTTTCTTTCTTTTCTTCTTTCTTTTCTGGAGGCCTTGCTCTGTCACCCAGGCTGGAGTGCAGTGGTGTGATCTCAGCTCACTGCAACCTCTGCCTCCCGGGTTCAAGTGATTCTCCTTCCTCACTAACCCTGTAATCTCCTGGGATTACAGGTGCCGGCCACCACACCCAGCTAATTTTTCTGTATTTTTAGTAGAGACGGGGTTTCACCATTTTGGCCAGGATGGTCGCGATCTCTTGACCTCGTGATCCGCCCGTCTCAGCCTCCCAATGTGCTGGGACTACAAGCGTGGGCCACCGCGCCCAGCCTGCAGTCTACTTTTTAGAAATGTTCATAGAGGGTATACTCAGATGGCACTAATCACTTGAGATTAGACAGTTTCTGCAGGGATAATTGAATAGGCAAGTTAATAAAATAAATATTTAAAATGCCTTGGTTGATTAATGTGTTGAAGGGTAAGTGATTTACTTGTACATATTCATTATTTCTGCAAAATAACTCTATGAAATGGTATTATTATCACTTCCATTTATAGATGATGCCCCTGAAACAAAGATGTGGGTAACTTGCCCCGGGCCAATTAGCAATAAGCCCAGATTTGAACCCAAGCAGTCTTGCTCCAGACCTTCTGTTTTTAACCATTCTACATTGCAGTTTCTCTAAGTAAATAGTCACCTAAAATATGGTTACAACAATACAATCACACCAAGAATATAGTTAGAGATAAGACTGCATCATTGTGTTTGTGCATGTGGAGACTGCAGCTGCTTCTATAGGAGATCAGCACCAAGCTATCATCTGTCGGAGAGAAATGTGTTGTGAGTAAGAGGAGGAGGAAAGCTGTTCTGTAAATATGAGACAAGCTGAAACAAATATAGAAATATGAAAAGAAAAAACTAATTTTCAAAAGGGAAGTTTTTAGCCTGTGCTTTAGTAGAAGATAGGAATAGACTGTGGCATGCGCTTGGAAGCTGTGACAGTTTGGTCCTGAGAGCTCTGTGGCTTGGGAGGGTTTGGAGCCATATCTCAGGGGTAAAAAGGAACCGTTCGAAAGGGCAATTTTAGAAAATGACTTTGATAAGCTTCATTAGTAGATACAGAGTTGGAATCAACAGATTAATATAGGCTTCAATTGTAAGTTTCTATGAATGTAAGAAACATCTAGAAATTAGCAGGAAAAAATCTGACCAGTTGGGATGGTATTTCTCCTTTAGTGCCAAAAGTATAACAGTTTTTTTTTCTCTTGTGGCAGTAAAATTAAGGGCCTGGATTTATTCAGCAACTTTTCTTCGTGAGAATACGAATATATTCCCAGACATTATTCTACACTTTTCCTGTGTAGTGTTCTACCACCAATGTGAAGTTATATATTTAGACCTCTGTGTTTGGGTGGGAAGAGAGTAGGCCCACTGGCAGGCAGTAACCACAGAGCTACATGTACCTGGGCCAGTTTTATTCCAGACATGTGGATCTTCTGGTCTGCAGCCTTGACAAACTTCCGAGTTCCCTTGTCTCCTTGTACAGATGTGTGTACCTTTTGATCATGAAGGCACTGTTAATGTCCTTCAGAGTTTGTGGCAATTTGTAACTTTGAAGGATCATCCAGATTATCAAATAATTTACATATGATGATTAGTAAATTGAAGTTTCTAATTTATTCTTAACAAAAAATAAAAATTACATTCACATCAAAAGCAGATAAATCAATACTACCCACCTTTCCTGTTTCCCAGATGCAAACAAAGATAAGTGGAAGTCAAATATCAATATACAGGTGCTTTCAAAAAAGTCTTTTGGTCTGTTTCCACTTTCAAGGTAACCTGGTGGCTTCTTCTCTCAAGTCCTCACACAGGTATTCAGGAATACCAGGATGGCGTGCCCAAGATTCCAACAGCCTGTATTACAGTGGAAGATGCAGAAATGATGTCAAGAATGGCTTCTCGTGGGATCAAAATTGTCATTCAGCTAAAGATGGGGGCAAAGACCTATCCAGATACTGATTCCTTCAACACTGTAGCAGAGATCACTGGGAGCAAATATCCAGAACAGGTGAGTGAAGGAGAAGGCTGGCCTAAGAATACAGTTTCCTCTTCTAGTTTGAGTTATTAGAGATAGTTTGGGAAAGAGAGAACATGAAACCACCTAGATGGTCCTCATATATTCATCGAAGGCAGAAGCTTTATATATATTTTTTCTCATCAAAATTTTACCATGTTTACCATCTCATGTCAGAATGGGTATTACTAAAAAGTCAAAGAATAATAGATGTTGGTGAGGTTGTGGAGAAAAAGGAATACGTATATGTTGTTGGAGGGACTATAAATTACTTCAACGCCTGTGGAAAGCAGTTTGGAGATTTCTCAAATAACTGAAAATAGAATTAGCATTTGACCCAGCCATCTCACTACTGTGTGTGTAACCAAAGGAAAGTAAATTGTTCTACTAAGATGATACCTGCACTCACATGTTTATTGCAGCACTATTCACAATAGCAAAGACATGGAATCAACCTAGGTGCCCACCAATGGTGAGCTGGATAAAAAATATATATATGGTCTTATATATACCATGGAATACTACCCAGCCATAGAAAAGAATGAAATCAGGTCCTTTGCAGCAAGATGGGCACAATTGAAGGCCATTATCCCAAGTGAATTAACAAAGAAACAAAAACAAAAAGCATGTTCTCACAAGTGGGAGCTAATCATTGGGTACACATGTACATAAAGATTGGAAGAATAGGCTGGGCACGGTGGCTCACGCCTGTAATCCCAGCACTATGGGAGGCTGAGGTGGGCAGATCACGAGGTTAGGAGATCGAGACCATCTGGGCTAACACAGTGAAACCCCGTCTCTAATAAAAATATAAAAAATTAGCCGGGCATGGTGGTGAGCGCCTGTAGTCTCAGCTACTTGGCAGGCTGAGGCAGGAGAATGGTGTGAACCCGGGAGGCAGAGCATTCAGTGAGCCGGCACCACTGCACTCCAACCTGGGAGACAGAGCGAGACTCTGTCTCAAAAAAAACAAACAAACAAACAACAACAACAAAAAAAAACAGATCGGAAGAATAGGCAATGGGGGCTCCAAAATGGGGGAGGGAGAGAGGGAAGCAAAATTTAAAAAAACTACCTGTTGGGTACTACATTACTCTTTGGGTGACAGGTTCAATTGAAGCCAAAACCTTAGCCTCACACCATATGTCCATATATCCCCTGAATCTAAAGGTTAAGTAATAAAAAATAAAAGTTTTACCACATTGACTGAAGAAGGGCAGGAGTAATTGCAGAACAGAATGGTATTTGTGGTGTGCAAGTTCAACCTCAGAACAGTTGAGAGTGGTATTTGTCCATATGTGTTGTATTTATTCCATTTGAAGCTAGCCTGGCATTTGAGATAAAACCAATAGTTAATACTTATTGTGTTAATTATGTTATTTAATCCTTTCAAAGCTTAGTGAATTTGGATATATTTTCTGTATTAGTCCATTCTCACATTGCTATAAAGAAATACCTAAGACTGGATAATTTATAAGAAAAGAGGTTTAATTGGTTCACAGTTCTGCAGGCTGTACAGGAAGCATGGTGGCATCTGCTTCTAGGAAGGCTTCAGGGAGCTTTCAGTCATGGCAGAAGGCAAAGAGGGGAGTGAGGTGTCTTACATGGCAGGAGCAGGAGCAAAGGGGAGGGGAGATGCCACACACTTTTAAACAACCAGATCTCATGAGAACTTACTAAACAAGAACAGCACCAAGGGGATGGTGCTAAATCATTCATGAGAAACAGCCCATATAATGCAATCATCTCTCACCAGGCCTCACCTCCAACATTCGGAATTAAAATTCTACCTGAGATTTGGGCAGGGACACAGATCTAAATCATGAAATTTCTTCATTTTATAGGTGAGAAAACAAACCTAGAAGGAAACTCAGTTACCCAAGGTCCACACAGCTAGTAGGCAGCTAAGAAGGAATTCAAACCCAGGATCTTGTGAATATTAAACCAAGTTTTAAACCAGTTTATATGCAGTTTCCAGAGTTTATTAATTTATCTGCAAATAATGGGATCGTATGCAAGTAATTAACAGAATTATTGTGAGGACTAGATTAGGTAAGTAACATCAAATAGCTTTGTCAAGTGTTTGGCACATCATAGACATGGAGTGTTTGGCACATCACAGCTCACTGAATGTAAGTTTCCTTCGTATGGCATCAAGTGTGCAATAAACACTTTTTATAAGGTTTCTGGTGCAAATCTCATACATTAGTTATTGAAATTCTAAAAATGGAACTTAGAAATGTTATTTAGAAATTTCAGACTTGTATTTTGTTTGACAGCATCAGTGGGATGAAGGAAAGAGTGAAGAGTGATGGCATTTGGTGATGGAGAAACAAGTCTTCTGCATATGACTTCTCCCAGACTAAGGACTGGGAAACTCAGGACTCAGGACTTCTCCCAGATTTGAGGGCTATATTGCAGTAAAGATTCATTTTAAGCTCAGGACTCCTTTCCCTCTTCCAAAATCATCTGCTTCAGGGACCTGGGCATCAACCATGGTTTTTGCCACAGGGATGATGGAAAACAAGAACTCAGTAGAATCACAGGGAGTCAGACAGCTGTAGAGAAACTGTGGTTTCAAACAGACAAGCCCAGCCTCTCGTCCCTTTAGGAAACTCGTAACAACAGAAGAGCCAAGAGTCTATATTTCAGACGCTAAATAGTCAGATGCCTTAAAGTGTAATCCTTTTCAGATATTTTCCCCAGTCAATAGTTCTAGGATAAAGTTTTGTCATCATCAGGTAGCTAGCCTAGGGCTTGAAGGGTTTAGGATTATAATATTATTGCTGTCTGGGTGAGCAGGCTGGGTGAGCTGGCCTGAGGTTGTAGGCAGGTGGGTGGCAGGATGAGAGAGTGAGTTATTGAGATCCTTAGTCCATAGCAGCTAGGGAGTCTCAGAATCTGGGGCCGAAGTATTTAGGCAGAGGAATTCTTGAGAGCCAGAGGGCTAAGATATCTGACAGCTTCCCGAGGGCCATAAACATCTTCTGGCTGGGAGAGCTTGGGCCTATTTGTCAGCTCAGCCTGGCTCATTCTTTTATTTTTTTAAAATTGGCTGAATTGAGGTATAACTTATATAAAATAAAACAACCAATCTAATGTACAATTTGATGAGTTTGGAAAATGTATAATGTAACTACTACCACAATTATAATATATAATATTTCCACCACCCAAAGTTTCCCTCAAGTTCCTTTGTAGTCCATCTCCAACTCTACCACCCTGCCCTGGCAGCCAGTGATCTCCTTTCTAGAGCTATAGTTGTTTTTGTCTTTGTTTTTTAATTTCATACGTAAGTGAAATAATACAATTTGTAGTTGTTTTCTGTCAGGCTTATTTCACTCAGCATAATGCTTTTGAGATTTATCCATGTTGTTGATTCAGTTGTTTCTTCCTTTATATCCCTGAGTAATATTTCATTGTACAGATATATGACAATTCGTTTATCCATTCAGCAATTGATGGACATGTGGGTGGTTTCTAGTTTTTTGATTATTGTGTATAAAGCTTTTGTGAACATTCTTGTACTAGTCTTTCCATGGACTTAATGTTTTCATTTCTTCTGAGTAAATATCTTGGAGTGGAATTGCTGGACTGGCCTAAATTTAGGAATTGCTGGACTGGCCTTCTATCTGTCAAGATGCTTCACTCTATGTTTTGTCGGGGTAGCACCTTCTCCCAGAAGGTAGATGGACAATTTCAGAGCAATCATGCGATTTAGGATGTTGCCTAGAATTCCAAGAGTTGATCATAAATACTTTCTTACCAATATGTAAAAGGTAGAAGTTTAACAAAAGTTCTTCCACAAAGAAGTAACAGCATTACTTCCACAGAAAAAAATGAAAATGAGCACAGTAAAGTCAAATCTGTGGTTGTGTTTTGTGGAGGGAATCTGCATTCTACCTGGCCTGGAACCACAGGGGACATACAGACTGTGAAGGCAAAGCAAAAAGCATGAAATCCCTCTTCAGGTATTAAGTTGGCTAATGAGCCTGAAAAAGAACTGCCTTATCCCCAGTAAATGCCACTTCTTCCATGAAGACTGCTTTGGTAACATTCCCCTCATCCCAGCACTTCATGCCACTGTTATGGTGTCATCTCCCAGCACAACTTGCAAATGCCCTGAGAGCAGGCACTCTGTTCACTTTATTTCCTTCCTTTTCCTTTTTCCCACCTCTAATGGCTATTTCAGGACTTGGCATGCAGTGGCTTCTCAATACATATTTTATTTTGGTAAAGTGAAGGAGTAAGTAAAGAAAAAAATAGTTGGAGGATGTTACTAATCTCGATCGTCTTTAAATCTAGAAGTTTTACTGCCCTTTTAGAATACCGATTGTTCATTGGCACATTGAACCTCACCAATGAATGTAGCTCGACATGTCCGGATATGAACACACTGGTTCCCTCATAACCTGATTTTTTGTCTTAGTTTCTTGTTTCTATTATATGAACCACATTTATCTATCAGCAAAGTTATAAAACTTCAAGTTATTTTTCATTCCCTCTCCTTTATCACTGTCCTATAGTCAGGTATCACATCCTATTCAGTCTATTTTCAGCATATTAAAAGAAAATTCTGTTCCTACCTTGCCTTTACTGCTACTACTGCCTTAATTCAGGCCCTCACTATTTCCCCCCTGATTGTTTTTCTTCTGGTCTTTTCCATACTTCTTTGCAATGAAGTTCAAAATTATTTTAAAACATTTGATCTCAACATGGTGATTCCCTGCTTTCAGGTCCCTCTCTCCTGTTTCTTATAAGATAAAGGTTGTGATGAAGATAAATGCTGAGGTGAGTGATCAGAGGTAAGCAGAAGACAGAGGAAAAAAGACAGAGAGGGGAGTCAGGGTTAGAAACGAGGCAGTTATAGTAAGAAGAAATTATATGGTGCTGTTCATAAATGAACAGAAAATGAGAATGAAGAAAGGCGAAAAGGAAATGTATGATGGTGAAAGGCAATGTCTGGTGGAGATCAAGGTCAACTGAGAACTGAT